GCACTCACTCACTCTCTTCTACTAATATGGTAGTGAGTTGCGGTTAATAACTAGTTACTTCTCTCCACACGTCGAATATCTTTTTCACAATCCCTCGGATTCCCTCCCTCGGTAAATAACTAAAAGCTGCCTCTACACTGCCAATCTAGCTGCCGCTCTTCTTCAGCTTTGTCCATTTTTTGATTGCTGTTAAGCATTTCAATTTGACTAGAAGCATCAGCTTATGATGTGGACTTTTTCTCTTCCAAGGTTCAAAGTCAGTTGTAACACTAATAATATAAGAGCTTAAATATACTCAATCACCCTGATGCAGGTAATAAGCCTTCCAGCTCCTGATATTATTAATATTCCTCAATTTCGAAATTATACTCTAAAAGCAATTCCACTCTTAGATGATATCCTGTGCTCTTTTCCTGATCTAGATTAGGTTTGAGAGACCATCATGTCAAAAGCCAAACAAGTCACTGTGATTTCATTAGTTTGTTGACTCTAACAATCTATGAATCAACATCCCTTTGTTAAGTTACTCTGTATTTAAACCATCTTTTGCACCACTTCCCAAAACTTCTTCTAACACAATGCATTGCAAGGTGAGTTGCCTGCTACCCCTCTCTGTTCAAGAGGTCAGCCTCTCTGTATGCCCTTTCCACTGAGCCAAAGCGAATCTGGACAAGTTCAGAGACACCAAACCCCCTAGTGACATGCTAACGCATGGTGTCAGATTGAAAAAAGAATTTATCATCATTGAACATTTGTTCTCAGATCGTAACGAGGGTTTTTGTTTTCTTCATTCGCGGGGAATCTATCGAGTACAGGGGCCTAAGCCTCGCCGTCCCTGGAGACAATGATGAACTCATAACCGAACAGCCATCTCATCTTTGATTCAAACTTCATCTTGAGAACGTTTGGACGCGTATAGGGACATCTTGGTTGATCTAACTCTCCTCCCCTGCTTCCTTTATGCCTCCTGCTTTTGTTGTTTGGCTGTTGTTAGCACCATATACGAAAAGGATGTGAGAGAATCATCCAAATGACTTTGCCGGATTTTGGGCACCCTTTACCTTCAATACAATAAAAATTACTGCTTGTTCTTGCTGAAGGCAGCCCGAGGTAGAAGCTGTTAGGGGCAATCTATGGCCAGGATGATGAGCGATGCAAGTCTCAGATGTGTTAGCCACACACTGGCAAGAAGACACCACAAAGCGCTGCATTTTGGGCTGTGATTGCCAGTTTGCCTCGAAAGATACACTCGGTCAAATTATATGATGAAGACACGGGCTTTTTAACGATGATGAAGAAGAGGAAGAGAGGAATCCTCTACACCTCAGAGTTCAGCTTTATATACTTTGTTTACCTGTTCTGTTGGAAGGCTACATCGGAGGGAGGAAAGCTCTCAATACACGGTAGATTGGCTATCCACAGGGCCACCTACTCCTTCCAATCAATTTAGACCTCAACGATCATGGTCAGAACTACCCAATTATGTATCGTGGATGGATGGAGATATAGCAAGCCCGTAGATGGAGAGCAGCAGCACATAGTCGATTCTTGTTACTACTATGTATCTTCTGCAGGCTGCAGTTGCTTCCTATCACTACGAGAGATACGTGAATGCCTCATAGGACTATTCAGATTTTTATTTTTATTTTTATTTTTATTTTTATTTTTTTGGAGGGGGAAGGGTTCTGTTCAATTTCTACAGAGCACAGAAAGTATGTATGTAACATCCCTACACCCCCTTTTTTTTTGATAAATCATATGTTACTTCCCAAACGAACGCTCTAAAGGTTTGTATATAATTATCAGTTCATTTTTTGTTAATATAGTCATTTTCAACGTCCGAGAGTGGTTCTGGGAGGCTAACTACCTCAATCCTTCACCACGGAAAAGTGCTGGTCCCTCGCCTAGAAAGTTTCTATAGCTAGTGATCGGGCTTATGTAGTTTTTGAACAAGAAGAAGCCAATCAATCTTTGATTTCGTGACCTGTATCATAGAAGATAAAATAATAGCTAAGTGGTTATGCCTAGGTAGATAAAGATTTTTGTTAATGTTTAGTTATTTGAATAAGATGTTGAAGCTGTACCCATCGTTAACTACCGACTAGTTATGGAATGCATGGATAACCGTGAAATTTCCTAGATACCACGATTTAGAGCTGATACCATGACCCTAACGGTATGCTGATTAGACTGTTCCTACATAAAGGTGGTAGGTAGTTATGACGTTTGTTGACTAACTCTGTAGTGCTGACGGGAACTACGAACCCTGAACCCTGAGCTTGTAGTCAGAAAAAGCTGATCTGACATAGTTATATAAATACTTCTTGAGTGCCCTGGTTTTCATGCCACTTCTATCTTCTCAAATAATAATCATGGTTGGTCTTGCTAGCAAATGCAATAAAATGTTTTTGAAAGATAACAACTAACAATCTCTCAAGGTGATCAAGATTATCCGGGTTGAAGGCTCTATCTCCATTTAGGCTCTCTCTCTGACTTTGCTAACGGCGCAGACAGAATGAACTTATAATGCCGTCTCTCTAGCCCAGTTTGCTTCAAGGAACCTCCGAATAGAGGAATGCACCCACTACAGCGTGGTCCATGTTCTCATATGTTCCCATATTCTTGTTTCTCAACAAGATGGAAGCCTATGTTCAGAGAGATTCGGCTGGTGTTTGGGCAGATGCATACGGTATAAATTGCTATACGAGGTAATTACATCGCAGGAATCTTTGGGAGAAGCCATGTCATGAATTCTTGATGTGTCCAATTGCCACCATTCGCTTTTCCCGGTTTTAGTTGAAAAAAGGGCTCTATGATGATGGATATTTTGTCCCACTTATTATTTACTGGACCGGCTCTCTGGCGGTTAAATAAGCTCTCCCCCACTCTTTGTGATTTCTCCAGACTTCCTCTCGCAACCTTCTCATCTAACCAATACACAAATTTGCTTCTCTAAAATGGCTATTTTACCCGAAATCAAGCTCGAGGATGGCAATTCCGTCCCAGTGGTTAGTGGTTCTTGAAACCTTCGATCCTCAGGCTCGTTTTTTTGATCGCTGGATATGGCAATTGGGCTAATTTGATGCCGTCATTTGCGGCTTGACAGCTCGGCTACGGAACTGGAACCGCGTGGTACAAGAAACCTGGCGACACAGGTATTGACAGGCAACTGATCGACTCGATAAAGGAAGCAATTAGTTTGGGGTATATCCACATCGACGGTGCAGAAGTATACGGAACAGAAAGTGAAATTGGAATCGCTATCAAGGAAAGCGGCGTTGCGCGAGATAGGCTCTTCGTCACAACTAAGGTTATCGACAACATTGGCGACATTCCCAATGCCATTGATACGAGCTTGAAAAAGCTTGGGCTTGATTATGTGGATCTGTACGTTTAATCAGCCATTGTTGTAAACTAACAAAATGCGGTTTGAAACGTGTTTATTCCTAATGAGGAAATTTCCCGGCGTCTTTCTACTCCAGGTACCTAATCCACAACCCATTCTTCGCCAAATCCGACAAAGACCTCCAAGATGCATGGGCTGAGATGGAGAAGGTCAAAGAAGCGGGCAAAGCGCGGTCCATCGGCGTCTCGAACTTCCGCCAGCATGAACTCGAAGCAGTGCTAAAGACGGCAAGAATCACCCCAGCCATCAATCAAATCGAATATCATCCATACTTGCAGCACGGCGGCTTGGTACCCTTCCAGGAAGGAAAGGGTATCAGAACCAGTGCGTACACCCCGCTCACGCCGGTGACAAGAGCTAAAGGCGGGCCGCTCGACGATATCCTAGCTGGACTTGCTAAGAAGTATGCGGTTACTGAGGGGGAAGTGTTGCTGCGGTGGTGTATTGATCGCGGTGCTGTCACCATCACCACGAGTAGTAAAAAGTCTCGATTGACATGCTACCTACGCGCACTCCAATTCCGTTTAACCCCAGCAGAGATTGAGGAGATCTCAAGAGTTGGAGAGGAGAAGCATTTCCGGGCGTTTTTCAATCAAAAATTTGCTCCTGACGATCGATCGTGAGGAGGCTTCCCTTTTCTAAAATATAGACGACTTTGCAGTGTTCTAATATATGACCTTTCCCCAAGATTTCATTTAACTGTATATAGCAGAAATAGAACTGGCTGCCTCCCTCATAAGTAGCTACAGTAGTATTGCTTCAAACAGAATCTTTCGTCTTCATGGTCACTCTTCTCACTCTCGGTTTTATATCGGGTCCGCAATCTCTTAACACAGAAATTCTGGGTAAGACAATCCCAACCAACTTGTTTAGACTTAGTTTCCGGGATGAAACCAAACTCTTTCTCCCTAACTAACCAGAACTTTTAGATACCCGGGATCAACGTCGGAAGGGTTTAAATCAATAAATGTATTGTAACTTTTCGCCTAGGAACTCTGTGTTGCAACTCTAACAGGGCAAAGAAACTCTCTCTACAGAACCCGTAATCTCAACTGTTAGTTTATGGCGTGATTCGGTCTTTGTCCAGGGGAAATGAGGTTTCCTTAGATAAATATTAGGCTTGCCAGACATTCAATTCTTCCAAGCTAACGATTAAGTGTGAGCAGAGTACAGTACGAATCAATTGTTGAGAAGCCAAACTTGAAACCCTTTTGAGGCAGAATATGAATATGAGTCTAAATGATCGTAGCAGAGTTAACTATATGAGCAGCCTTGAGAGCATGGCGATTGGAAACATGGACTGAGCTTTAGCAACAAGGATGGATATGTCAAGAAATACCGAGAAGACAGACAGACAAAAGAGGCTTTGTTCACAGATAACTATACAATAAGGAGCTGAAACAATTGGATCCGTTCTATTTGGATTGCAGAACTTAAGAGACTCCAACAATCAATTCTATCATCGATGCGTTGGAGAACGGTCAGTATCCGCAGCAAGACGGCGAGTGACTTCTAAACACACCTATTCCACAGTAGAAATAGAAGTAGCTATACGCAGTATAGTTATTTATTTAGCCAGAGATAGATAGATATATATATATCTACTACATCCTATAGTTACTAGAAACATACAATAATTATTTTCCTTTATTCTTTTTTTCCCCAGCCCGAGATCACTAGTAGCAGATTCTCCAATAACAGCGGCGATCTCCCTTCCAGTGAAGAAATCCAAGCTTTGTTAAGTTACTTTGTTACGCCAGCTCCACCAGCCGTGATCGATCCTCTCCCGCCGTTCGACTGCTGCGATCTCCGCCACTCACTCCACCCACCACCACCACTACCACCACTACCACCACTACCACCACCACCACCACCATCATCATCATCATCATCATCACCACACCATATCACCACCACCACCATCACCATCACCACCATTGCTCGTCCTCCTCTCCTCCCGCATTTTCCTCCCGCCAACGCCCACGAACTAACCCCTACAGCTCTGCAGCCTCCGTTGTCTCGAGGCCTTTCTGGTTTCCCTCCTGTTTTCTCGCTCGCTGCCTTCCCTCGATTCCTCTCCTCCCCCCAATCAATGGCCTCGCCCATTGGAGCCCGAACCTCAGCCGCCCATCCAACCACAGTCCTGAAGAACGCTGGGCTGTATCGCTGCGGCCTTGCTGTCACTGCTTGTCTGATCTAGTTCATATATTTTCCCGCTTCCTGTTAACCCGCCATCCTCTGCTATTTTTTATTTTTATTTTTTTTCATTTTTTTTGGACAAGCGCTTATGGGCATCAGCTGGCCTCACCCTGGGCTCCATTTTCTTCGTGAAATCCCCCTCTGACCAACACCCACGCCGGCCTGTCTTGTCTGTTGTTGCAAGCTGCGGTTGGAAGGGCCGTCTTCTGTGTCGGCCCAGCCAGCCAGCCGGTCTGTCAGTTAACCTACGAAACGCGCACTTCAAGAAAGCAAAGCGATCGCTGGCTCTGGCTTGGGATTGCTGTTGTGATGCTCCTACTATTCACCACTTGTGAGTTGAATGCGCTGTGTCTTTTTTTTTTTTTTTTTTTTTTTTTTTTTTTTCTATTTATTGCTCTCTTACCATACCCCACCTTGTTCACTTCGAGTTCGCATCTGTCGTGGTGGGTAGGACTGGTGAATAGGTTATTAGTTTACTAATTTGAGCTCTCCTCTAGCAGTTAAAAACCACTGAATGCTCGAACGGCCGGAGCTTTCCCAGATCCACCTGCGCTCCCCTTTCGCCGAATACAAACAAATCCCCTGCCACCCGCGCTCTCTTTCCAAGCTATTATATACACCCTTAAGCTCAGCTTACAGCGCTGAGTTTCGTCCACAATCATTGCGCTTGCGTCCGTAGCGATCTGCCATGTCCGTTGAGCTCCAAACCTCACACCGGACCCAAAACACCACCGAAGCCTCGTCGCGTGTGCCAGCCAAAAGATCCTATTCAGAATTTCTCAAGGGCGTCAATACTCGCTTCAAACACCTCTCCGACAAAGTGCTACCCGCGTCCCCATACCTCCTCAAGGTCCCCACTGAAAGACCTTTCCACTTGGGTTCCCGGTTCGTCAGTAATTGGGCTGTGGGTGATAATAGACCATTTGCGCCGGAGGAGGAACACCTTCAGTACATGACCTTTCTGCCCCACCAGGTTGAGGACACTCTACTCGTTGCTGTGGGGGGATGGTCTGATGAACGTGGAAACATCATGGAAGAAGATACGTCGAAAGTCCCAAGCATCGCCACAAGCCCGTCCGTCGATACACCAAAACAAAAGCTTCAGAGAAAAAAAATTAGTCTGAGTGACTACAAAAAGAAAGCATATGAAACTCCAAAATCACCTCCTAGAAGCGCTACCCCAGTGAATCGCAGGAATGGCACGGATCGTTTGACTCCAGCCGTAAAACCCAAGTCACCTCGAGAACCCGTGCCAACGCCCAAGGTGCCGGTGATATTACCTTCTAAAAGAAAAGCCACCACGTCTGTAACAACCGACAATTGCTCCGATAATGCTAACGGAATTTCGCAATCTAAAAGTTCCCGCGATGGAAATTCCCGATCCACACCTAGTTCCCACAAACCTCCACCATCAGCTCGAGAATCCCCGCCCCCCACTAAAAAGCCGCGACTTTCAACTACAAAGGAACCTCCCGATAATAAACCCACGAGACAAAGAAATGCGCCGCCTGTTGTTCCCGCGCTACTCTCTCCAACACTTCCCCCTACTAGCGTTACACCTAGGCTCCCTAGATTACTCTCACCCACTCTCCCACCAGATATAGAGGAAGAGCTAGCTAAGATAAAAGGCGGCGAGCTATCTATAGACAGAATTTCCAGCCCCAGGAAAGCTCCGTCACCCTCTACCATTACAGGATCGAAGCCTGAGCGGCCACTACCCAAGTCGAATAAACCAAGGCCCCATTCTAGTTCTACCTCCAGTTCAAGCGATAAAACTACCAAGGCTAGAGTATCGTCTTCATCCTCCAAGCCCCAGGACAATAGCGTCGCAAGGCCTGTCCCTTCCAATAACCAACGTTCTAGAGCTGTCGATCATACACAATCGCAAATTTCCTCGAAGCCCAAGGGAACAACCCAACTTGCCAAACCCAAACTTATTGTGAAACTAAGATACGGGAGGTCCAATCGGAAACGGATAGAAGCGTTACTCAGGTTTTCTGGTAAATATAAAAGCACACCTCATCACCAGTCATCGAAACAGAAAAGAGAACCTGAAAGTCAGCGAAAGAGTAAAACTGCCCCTTCTTCGAAATCAACAGAAGTACAGCGCGCTGAAAAGCGACCAAGGACTCCAGCCACAACGGCCTTCAAGTCTCCTTCCGTTCCGCAACAGCCGACATCAGTATCAAAGGGCCAATTTCTAACTCCAAGTAAGGATTTGAGGGCTACAACCATGCGCCGTCTAGGCTCTGGAGACGGTGATTCGAAGCTACCAGCAGGGTTGGACCGCGGAATGAACACGAGCACACCTGGAAGCGCGGAGAAAGCAACCACCAAACACTCACCTGTAACGCCGAGTGATAACCCACAAAACAAACCTCGGGATACAGCAGAATCTCGTTCATGGCAAGAAGAATCCCAGAAATATTTCAATATAGGTCGCGAATTAAAACGTTCATCCCAGAGGTACCCGGGACCGCATGCGACAGACGCCGATCATAAGCTTAGCGCGGCGATTGCAGTTGAAGCGGTCCTCTGCTTTATCCTCGCCTTCATCCTTGACGATAGGCACAGAACCTTAAACCGTCGACTGGGAGACTCATCAACCTGGTTGTCCATCGTCCCATACTGGAAAATGGTGAAAGGCAACATGGACAAGTACCCGCATCTCCACGCCCTTTGCTCCCTCCTCGGCGCTGTCTTCCACGAAATCATCCACGGCCTCGACCTCGAGCGCCTTGCGATGACCGCACTTCCAAGCGACCATAGTCCCGCTCCCACTCCAGGAAGCGATGGCAATACGGTAACTTCAGAAGAAAGCAAAAAACAGCAGCAGCATAGGGATTTTATGGATCTTAGGAAACGACTCGTCGATTCACACAGAGAGGCTAGAGCCCTTTGGCTCGAGGGGTCGCGCAAACTGTCGGAGGATGTACTGACCCACCAATACCCAGAGACGTGGTCGAAGCGGTCCATGAATTTCTCAGAAAGGGGTCGAGAGAAGGCTCTTGTGCTGGGTGAATATTCAGGAGAATATTTTTTACCTCTCGATCGTACGGCTACCCCTCTTGAGGCGATTAGGTTTGGGTGGGTGTTTCTGACCGAGTGGACCAAGAAAGAACGGGTAGAGTGGAAAGGTCAGCTTGGGTTATGAAATGTATTTGTTTGACTGTCATGATTTTTCTTTTCCTCTTTCTTTGGCATTTCTCTACTTTTTTTCAAGTTCCCTGGCTTGTTGGAACTGAAACTCACCTCTATTTACATCTTATTTCCTCGATATACCCTAGTAGCTTTGTCATGGAGAAATTTTCTTAATCACAAGTTCCCCTTCTAGAATAACTTCGCCGTCATTTATTTTCCTTTGATTGAAGTCATCGTATACCACTGGTTTACCAACCTCGTTTCGAAAACACTTTTTCTTTCCAACTTCACTGCTCCTATTTCCTCAGCCTACTGTGTTTATTAAACGAGCAACATTCTCATCTCCTCCAACGAAACCCCTTATTTCATATACTTGGTGCCCTATACTTTTTCCCTCCTTTCCTCCCCACTCCCTTTCCATACATAACCTCCTCCGCACACGCACACATCTCATTCTATTACTGTCTCAAACTCTCCATCTCTGTCTCAAATATACATTATTTATGATACCAACGAACTCGGCATATTATTTTTTTTTAGCGGGGAAAACTATTTCAGAGCGACTCCAACGCTTTTCCAATCTTTTTTTTTCCAAAATTTTTTTTCTTTTTCTGCTTATTCTTTCCTTCATTCTCCTTCTCTCTCTTCTCTTTGTGTTGTTCACCCTCTCTATTCAGTTTTTTTTTTTTTTTTTTTTTTTTGCTGTTGTTTATCCTGCTAATGGCATATATGCCACGAGCACCCCAGCTTATAGTTTTGTTTTACTTTCCCTGCATTCCTTTAAATATCCGGGGAACTAGTTCTCTTCTCTCTGTGGTGTTTGGGCGCTGGACGAAAGGAGAGTTTTTCCCCGATACTCACTGGACCGGGACCTGACTGGATTGGATTTGGATGAGTATATATGTACACAGTACCGTGCCCATCGTTTAGTGATTGGGTGGCTGGGGTGGGGTGGGGTAAACATTCATCAGATTGGATTTCTTTTGCTATTCGCAGTTATACGTTTTTTACTATTCCGATTTGGTAGGATCCAACGCATGGGCATGAGGGTTGAGAACTGGAACTGAGAAATTGTAGTATTGACTGAGGTGACATGGTTGCATGAATGGAAATTATTCGATGATCTCATAGTCGTTTTTTAGTCGTTAAAGATTAACCCGCAAGAAAGCGTGAAAACATCAATTGTCACTTGTGGTGTTGGGGAATATGTAGAAACAACGTTCGTTTTGCTCAGGATGAAGAAATAAAATCACGAAAACGTAAATAATCCTAATGGACGAAAGATACTGTGAAAAACAAATGAAAAATAAATGATATCTTCTTCTAACTAATTATAAATAAAGGCCAGGCCAACCGGGCAACTTGCACCACTCAATGCAGCCTTCAAGTTATGATAGAAAAGGGATGTTGCAATGCATGCATGCGCATAAAGCATTTTGCTGTAACCATCGCCATCCATTCATAGCAGAAACAAAAATAGATAACATAAATGCTCTGCTCGCTCTAGTCCAAAATTTTTTTTCAAATGAGATACGCTCCGAGAATCATTTCGCTAGTTGATAAATGAAAGCGCTCGCATCAAATCAATGGGAAAAGATTTATATCAAACGTCGTAATCATCCTCGCTCTCCCTACCTCTTCCGCGATTCCTCTCCCCACCAAACAACCACCCAGCTTCCCGACAATACCTCGCCTCCCTCCTCTCGCTGCCCACCTCACTAGCCCAGCAAACAACAGCTGCATCCACGACGCCAGTCAGCACGCCTTCCATCGCACCCAGGACACCCCAGCCAATAGCCCCCGCAATCAATCCCACAACATACGCGTATAAACTGCCTCGGATAGTGGAGGTTGTTCCCGTTCCTGTTCCCGTAGTAGCTAATTGCAAGCCACGAGCGGTAGATACCCACCCGCCGAAACCTAGACATAACGACATTGTGAAGCGCATAGCATGGAGGAAAAGTTTGGCGAGGCGGTATGGAAGGAGAGAAGAATTGTTGTGACCGTTGGTGTTGCCTCGTGGGTTAGAGGAGAAGGAGGTTGGGTGGAGTGAGGTGGCTGCTGTTGATGGGGCGAGGAACGTCATTTGGCTGAGGCTGCGGGCGGAAATGCCCAGGGGCAGTGAGTGGATGGCGCTGTAGGTTAGAGTTAGGGAGTTAGTGAGAGCGGCGATGGGAGTGGGAACGCAAGAGTATGCGGCTAAAGATAGAAACGACGACAACCGTCTAGGAAGGACGATTAGTGGTAGACGTATCAGTAGGGCGAGGAGTGTTGAGAGGCAGATGGTGCCGAATAATGTGCTGACGGAGTGAATTAATGCTGCCTGTACGATTTGTCGGGATGAAGGTGCTGGTACTGATAACCGGTGGAAGTACCACTGACTGACAGTTGCAGCCGTGACGGTCCTTTGGATACCTGAAATCACTCCCAGGGACCAAAGATAAATTAGGATGAAGTAGACGGCCAGCCACCAGCTTCCCGCGTTGATTATAAACATATTTTTTGTTGTGGAGATATGGCCACCAAGGAACACGCGGGTGAACATGAGGATCCATACCCATGTCCAGGAGGCGATAACAGCCAAGGTGATAAACCCAAGTGCGAGCAGCGCTGGGCTGGATGCAAGAATGCGACATGAAAACTCCAAGATGCTGATCGCTTTTTCCGTTGAAAAACGACCCTGAATGACGGAATATACCCAGACAGATGCAATTATGGCGGGTACCAAGGAACCCCAGCGCATGACTTTGTCTTGGATGCTTTGGCCATGCCAAGCCCCGCCAAAGCTAGCAATGAAAGGAAAAAGAGCAAATGTGTAGAGTATCAGAGGGACTGCTAATAAAACCAAATAGACCAAGGGGCGGACATATGAACGAAGGAACGCTAGCCACAACAAAGAAACCAGAATGGAAACCAGAGTATATATCGCTAAGAGAAAAAAAGAGGCATGAAGAGTGGAATAAATGGTATCGCCAAGGATAGGCTTACCCTCTGGTAGGGACGTGTGCAAATAAATAAGAAAAGCTGTAGCAAACATGCCCACGAGAGAGATTAAAAAGAGGTTGCCCCAAAATGCGTCATGCTGGGGAGGTTCGAAGTCCGGGTGCGTCATTGACGCCGGAACGGACGATCCCGTAGAGCTTGGAGGGCGAGGATGCTCCAGAAGGGCGCGCTTATCCGTTTCTTTGGGTAAGAAGGAGGAGCTAGTTTGGAAATGGTCCCCCGCGATGTCAGGTTGTTTTCGGAACTGTTGGACGGCTGGTGGAGAGTCATCATCAGCGAAATCATCACGCGCGCTATCTCGTTGCACGTTCACCATATCACTCCTCAGCGTATCTTCTAGGCCAACATCAACCATCCTATCTTTCCCAAGAGAGCTGGCGCCCGTGCTGCCCCTATCGTCAGCCTCATTCTCATCACTTTCGTCTAGTCGCTCGAAGGGCTTGCCTCCCAGAACAGGCGTGGCATCACTAGATCTACCGGCACGCCAGGAGCTCTTGATGCCTCCGCCTCTTCCGCGATTGCTATGGTTACTACCAGCAGCATCCATACTATTTTCAGAGTGCTTGCCATCGTCATCAACCTCGGATGACTCTTCCAGATGCCTCGAGTCGAAATGGCGTCGAGATCTCTGCAGGGCGTAGAAATCTGCAATTTCGCGTTCGTGCTCCTGCTCGTCATCTTCTTCTCTAAATTCATCAGCAGCACTGTAGAAGAGAGGAGCATGCTGTATGGAGGCCCTTGAGGAAAAGGGGAAGTGCGAGATGTGAGACGAGCTTGGTTGGTAGGGGTTGCCAATGGCGCGGTGAAGATAGGACCTGGAGGCTGGATTTCGCGAAGACCCAGAAGGCTGATTGAATCTTCTATTGTAACGGTCTGAGCCTTGTCTTTCGTTGTTATCTGGACTGAAGGCTATTCTGGACTGGGACTGGGCTAGGAATCGGGAGGCATCTAGGTTTGGCGGTTAGTGATATTATGACGTGACTAGGGATGGAAGTGTGGGGAAGGAAGCTCCATACATTCCGAAAACATCGTTAGCTAGGTTCAGTCCAGTCGCGGGCATAGAGAGTGATATATCAAAACTGGTCGTACGGCAGTATAGGAGGTATGTAGAGGAATAAAATAAGAGATGGCCCACAGGCACACGTCCAGTAGTGAGAGAGGTGAGTGTGTGTGTGTGTGTCTTATTACTGGTGGGAGTGTGGAGAGGGAAAAGAGTCGGTGAATAGAGAGCTTGACATAGAAACAGCCAGAACAACAACAACCCTAGGAGAGGCAACACGGCCCGGAGGGATTAAAGGGGATCAAAGAAGAGCATACAAAGAAGAATGAGACGGGATCATCGGCAAATAAATGAAGCTGGGGAGTTGCTGAGAAGAAGCTGAAGGAGACGAAGAATGAATGATGCCGGATCGTGATCAAGCAAAGTCACACTGCAGAGCATGACTCAGCAGGCAGCGAGCGATTAGGTCATCCGCGTGTCATGTGCTTCTGCTCTGTTCCGTTGTTTGGGCAGCATTTTTCATTTTTCATTTTTTCATTTTTTTCATTTTTTTGTACATATATTTTATATATATCTATATTGTATATTTGTATGTATATTTATCGTTTGTATATATTTATAAATATTACAGATACGGACCATTCAGCGCTCATCAAGGAGACTGAACCTTTTGGTCCCGTTTAGTCCCGTTCACTCACTAGCTGGAGCATCTTCATCATCCCCATAAACATAACTCTGCCTCACCAGAGCTCAATCTCGCAGCTCTCTCTCTCTCTCTCTCTCTCTCTCTCTCACTCTCTCTCTCACACACACGCAAAACATTACATCCTCCATACAATAAAACCTACATTCAATTCTGTTCTCTTACTCCGCCGCTACAGCTCTACATATCTCCGCTGCGCTCAAATCTAACTTGTTCTGTACGGTTTTGCAGCTACCCGGCTAATTACCTCCGGCCGCTATCCCAACAACTCACCATTTTAACCTCACCTTCGAGATAGGATAACTACCTCAACTCACAACCCAGTTGCGTTCATGTCGCAGCCATGGGATTACATCGCAAAGCTTGTCTGTATTGGTGATTCCGGCACCGGTAAATCTAGCGTGTGCTCTCCCCTTTCCCATTTTCATCTCCCCATCTCGATATCTACTCTAGATATCTACTATCGCATTCCGTCCAACTAACCCTTTCATATTCAGCTCACCATCCGACTCTGTGAAGGTCGTTTCTCCTCATCCCACGATGTAACAATTGGCGTCGAATTCGGCTCCCGCATCGTCCCCGTCGGGCCGCCAGCCTCGGATTCCCTTGGCATAGACTTTGACCTTCCCTCTTCGTTGTCTACTGACCCATCATCTCACCTCCCGATTATCCCCCCGTCCCAAACAACCACCACTACTGCCGCTACATCGACCCCCCATGATCCTACGACATTAATGAACGGAAGCGATCCCTCGAAGCGAAAACCCCCCCATCAACAGCCACAACCACCATCCGGCCTGCCCTCCCCTCCCCGCAAACTACAATCCCCACCCATCCAAAAACGCATGAAACTTTCCCTCTGGGACACTGCCGGCCAAGAAACCTACAAATCAATCACCCGCTCCTACTTCCGCGGCGCCTCCGGTGCCCTCCTAGTCTTCGACATCACACGTCCCTCCACCTTTGCCTCCCTGACGCAATGGCTGCAGGACCTGCGCCAGATCGCCGAGGAAGGGATCGTGGTCATCCTCGTTGGCAATAAGAGCGATCTTGCTGCCCCTTCTCTAGCAGGGAGTAATAGTGCTGATGATGGCGGTAAACCTCAGAAGGAAGCTATAGTTACAAGAGAGGAAGCGGAGGCATGGTGCCGAGCCAATAATATTTCGCGGTACGTGGAGACGAGTGCAAAGTCTGGAGAAGGGGTTGAGAGGGCGTTCCTGGAGGTTGCAGAGCGGATATACCGGAACATCGAGGCCGGGCGGTATGACTTGAACGACCGGCGGAGTGGTGTTAAGGGATTTGGAGCCACTGGGGGAGCGGGTGGTGCGGGGCGCGTGCAGAGGACGGTTACACTGGGCGTTAATGATGCGATGGGGCGAGGCGGCGGTGGATGTTGTTGAATTTTTTTTTTTTTTTTTTTTTTTTTTTTTTTTTTTTTTTTTTTTTTTTTTTTTTTAGTTCTGCTCCTTTTATTACCGCTCGCTGCTTTGGCCTATTTCACTTTATTGCCTTTCAAGAAACAGTTCCGGGTCAACGGGCTTGTTATACCACTACCTCTTGTTTTACCACATACGCCCCTCTGCCCCTCTGCCCCTCTGCCCCTCTGTTATATTAGTTGCGTCATATCTCTATTTAATATTGTTTTCCTTCCTTCTTTTCTTTTGCCTTTACATAATATTTCTTATAGCATAACTATATTCATGTCTAGGGTATTTTAATAGGGGGTGTGATGCTTAATTATCTTTTTCCAGGAGCAGTGTTATCCGCTGAGCCTCCCTCCGAAGAATCAAAAGACAACCAACCACCTCTTTCAACCCACTTTGTTATTAGTGCTGTATTATGATGTTCTACTTCACATTCAAGTTTGTAGGATTAGGTGAGCCCCAATTTTATTTGTATTTTTTTGAATCTCCTGTTCATGACATGGAAAATAACATTTCTTGTTGTTTGTATGACCTCTTCACAAAATGAGGCCAAGAAGATGGACAAATGATTGCAGAAGAAATATGCTCAAAAGCTCACTCAAGGAGAAGAACCAGACCAGTAGTAGAGGAGGGAGGGTGATGAGGGACCCTCATTGGAAGGGATTTCTCTACCACTGATAGGAAATTTCGTTCCCCTTTTTCAAATGGACAAAAAAAGCTCATGGTAGACTCCCCTGTTCTGTTCTACAACTGACAAAATGTGAAGAGATTCCAGATTGATAACTGTACATATATCAAATCAATACATATCACTGTCCTTCCCTGTTCATTCCCATGCACAAAGCCATACCATAGTTACCTGATCAAATATGTATTCTGTTTCACAGAGAACGCTGCCAATAACAATGGAAATAAAACAAACATGCGGAATGAAACAATGAGGGAGAAAATAAGGGAAAAAGTATTTCAAAACAAATTAAAACATTCTCTTTTCTAAAAATTATTCTTTTCCCGTTTTTTTGCGTCATTCAGAAACTGTAAAATGAAACACAACAATTAAAAGAAAGGAAAAGCAAAATAAATACCACAAATGTAGCATGATAAGATAGCAACAATACATCTTCCGTTTTCAAACACGTCTCTATCTCCCCCCTTCTCTTTCCTTCCAAAGCTCGAAAGACCTACGCAATCCGCCACGTACTCAACCAACCCAGATGCGCCCATTTCGAGCTCGAACCTTCCATCCCAAACACAATATCGCGGAAAAGTACAAATAACCCAATAACGGCTGCATAGAGAACTGTGTAAACCGCCCACTCGACCGAACGGGGCAACTTCTGCGTAAACCAATTCATACAGAAGCCCAGGGACAATATCGTGAAATACAGCGCTGGGTAATAGTGGTGCACGTAGGTCACGCGCGCCATGGCGACGAACGGGAAGTAATGCAGGAACCAGCCTATCGCCGGGTATAGGCCTGAGTGGTAGATGTGTTCCATGTCAGCGAGGCTGAGCTCGTCGTAGCCGCGCTGCCAGCGGATTAGGTACCACGCGAGGATTGCGCCGAGAAGGACTAGACTGAGGGTGCCGCCCCAGTAGACGATGGGGTTGCCGAGGAGGAAGTACTTGATGACGTTGTCGTCCCAGGAACACATGCGCAGGCCGACGTGGAGAATAGGCCATTGCCAGAATTGTGAGGCGAGCTCGTCTTGTTTGTCTGGGTCAGGGATAAGAGCGTTGTTTGAGGTCATCATTGCGACGTTGAGGTGGATGAAGTCTTGTAGGAAGGGGGATTTATAGGAACCGGGGTCACCAGGTGGTACTAGAAAGTAGGTATTAGAAATTTGATCAGCCTCTTCGAAGCAAAAACGACAGGCACGAGAGAAAAACTTACATCTTTCATTAACATGACTCTCAACATTCCAGTGAGTATATCTGTCCCGAGGGTTATTTTCCTTGATACAAGTGGTTTCAATCTGCTTGAAACCCCACTGCGGGAGATTGACAGTGCCAGCGCGAAGGTAGCAGCCAAGCACAGCGTGTCGGAGGCGAAACGAAGTCGTCAAAGTGCGAATCTTCGACCGGTCCCTAGAGGCGACGTCGCCGAGTACCTCAATGCGCCAGTGGTCTTTTTCATCTCCTACCGTCGTATTTCCATAACAAGACACTTCGTTGTGGCTTTTCGTTATCGGTGCAGATACGGTGTGCGAATGTAGGTTGCGTCCTGTTTGCGCATGAATGAGCCGGATGACATCCTTGTCGGCGACATATTTCAAGGGATCGTTCGGGTCATAATTAGGTTCCTGGCGATTCGGATAGATAAACCAGTCATTGTTGGTGTCCTTGTGGTGGTAGCAAGTTACTTGCTGCTGAGTTGATCCTTCTGGGTACGTTTGGACGTGTGAATGGAGAAGGCCGCCGCTATATCCCATATTTTTCAGCGTAACCTTTGATCCGATGGCGATTTCAAGTGGGCTATTCTTTCCAACGTTTGTGCCTTTCAGGTTGGCCTGGAATAGAGAGCTCATTTGTGCATCGCCGGGTCCTGAGTTTTCGAGGATAAGGAAGTGGACATAGAACGAGAACATGTAGACGAGCAGCGGAATAATGATCAATCCCACTACCCTAGCGGCAAGATGTTCTGCAAGCACAACCTGTTAATGGGCATATTAGTTACATTTCCGGTGATACATAAAAAAAGGCACAAGAAATAAACTGAATGGTCCAACCCCCTTACCTTGGGCATTTTGAGATCACCGAACTTGTTCCAGAGATCCTCAGCTGTATAGAGCCCGACTAGAGCAGTAACGAAGAATCCCACCCATTTAACACTGCAGACACAGCCAATGCTTAGCCCAGTCAGAAACAGCCAGGCGAACCATTCCGCCGAGAAACTTTTATTTTGCAGACGGTGGAATCGGGCCCAGCAAAGGGTAGTCGTGAAGGTAAAACATAACAACATTGAATCAAGGAGAATGAATCTGGAGATGGTCGCATAGGAATTCTCACACAGAACCATCAGAGTGATCAACCAGACAGCCGGGCGACGTAAATTTAGTTCGCGGGCGGTAAAGTAGGCTAGGGGAACGCAAACAGCTCCGAAAAAGGAGTTGAACAAACGCATGAAAGTGTAGTTAAGCTCAGGGGGGTACTTCTCTCCGGACTTGAATTCAAACGAGCCATTGTAGCCCGCAAGGTATCCCGAGAGGCCCACCAGCATTTTCCCCAGCGGCGGATGTACATCGAAATAGAACTCCCTCTTCAAGTAATGGGAGCCAAATTTGCCGAAACTATCAGGGTTTACGCGGTTAGTTAGCAGCGGGATCGACAGCAAAACCCACGTCGTAGCTCCTATCATTCCAGCGGCTACCAATCACCAATTTGGACCCTGGTACAACTTACTGAGCCTCATCCCAGGTTACGATATCTGATCTACCAATACGCCACATTCGCGTGAAGAAGGAGAACGCAGTGAATATCAGTGGAGCAATAATAAATTCCCACTCGTCCAGGACATCGATGAAGGTAGACTATGACCGGAAAAGACAAACCAGAGTTAAATTGATGGACCAAAGCTTATGGCAATTGAAGGGATGATTGTGGTCCACGCCTCAACAGAAAAGAAAGCCATGGGTATTGAAAAAATTACCTTGCGTGGTGCTTGCTTCTTTCTCTTCTCGTCAACCTCGAACGGAGTGTGTCTTTTAACCCCACTGCCATCTTTCTCCGAACCGGTGACGTTTCTTCGGCGTAGATCAGGGTTCTGAGAGGTGCCAGTGGCCGTGGCAGTCTCATGGGCCGCCATGAAGGGTGGAAGAGTAGGAGAGAATGTTGACGGGAGAGAGATAGCGGAGGAGGAGAAAGAGGGGGTGAAGGGGAGGCTTTGGATCAGGAGCCAACAGGCTTATTCGAAAAGGTCCCGAAACCGTAGGAGGTACACGATTGAGAACGCAACGAGGCTAGTTAAAAGTAAAGATGGACAAGAGCAATATCCATCAGATGGATTCAGCGTAGCGTGATAGAAATGAAATTATCCGGTCGAACAGCTCCCTCTCGCAATAAGCATCCGAGAACGAAATCGAGTTCTTTGAAGGGCAGGCGGGCGGAAGTATGAGCGAATGTAACCCGTTGTTTTCCAAATGAAATGGTTTAAAAAATAAAAAGAAGAAGCTAACCCGACGATAAGGAATGAAGGAATAAACTACTGTACAAGGAAACGGCGAGGAAAACGGGGGCTTTGGAGATAGGGCAGGCCAATTGAGCAAGGATATGGGTTTAATTTGTTTCGCCCAGCACAAGGACGGGCGACAGGGGAGGAGGAGAAATAAAGAGAAAAAAAATCTGGAGAAGAAATAAATGAGAAGAGGTATATAGAAGAAGAGCAGAAAGTAAAAGAAATGGAGAAGAGAGAGAAAAAAGAGACGATTGTTGTTCGCCAACCAGGAGGAGTGAGAAAAAGAGGATGGATGATGAAGCCGAAACAAGCATCGTTGGTCTTTTGGGATTTGGGCTTGTTTCGGAGGCTGTACTGTACGGTTTGTACCGCGGCTGTATTGCGGCCTGCTCCGCGGGTGTGTTTGCACCGTAGTTGGCCTGTGCTGGGCGCGGTATTACGCTTACATCGCCATGTGTTACGTGCCAAGGCGGGTGCATGGGATATTATCAGGTGATCAGGTATGTGCGGTGGTTCTCGAAGCCGAGTAGAAGAAAAAGATGATGCTGATGATGATGCTCGGTGGTGATCTATCTATATATATCCAAGGATCTGTGTATCTCAGAAGAACAAGGTGTTCAAATACGTGACGTTGCAGATCAGTTTCGATTATTGTTTGCAAACGTTTCCGGTCCCTCAAACAAGTATATATATATATGGAGTTTAATGTAACAGGTTTGAAAGCCATAGCTAGCGAGTATCAAACCCTGGATCCAACCAGCCCCTATTTAACAATAATAAATGTGTCTTAAAATAATAATAAGTTAATAATAGTAATAATAAATAATAAAATAATAAAATAAAATAAAATTACCCAACACAGATTTGACCATCTAAAACTAATAATAAAATGTAAAATGCAATAAGAAAACAAGAAAAAGGATTAACAGTTTATGTTGCACTCTCATGTACATGTACATGAACCGGCTATGTGTAGCGTCTACTCTCCGCTTTCTCCCTCTCTCCCCTGACCTAGCCAGCCAGCCAGACGGACAGATAAGATGAAAATATGAAAATGAAGAATGAGGAAATATTACAGCAAATATATAATAAAGTTCGCACATGTATCATGTAACCAGATGTTCAAAATAAACTTGTAGGAAAAAGTGGAGAATTGAATGCCCAGCGTGTATGTCACCGGGACGAAAAAGAAAAGCCGAGGGAAAAAATAATGTAAATGGGAAATATGAAAGAAAGAAATAATAGGGAGGAGAAAAAGGCGTCTACATTGGTGTGTGTGTGGGGGGTGTTCCTGGCTCCCACCGGGCGCAAAGGGTGGACCAGGAAATTTCAGGAAGGAGAATAGA